GAGGAGGAGGAGGAGGAGGAGGAGGAGGATGGCTGCGCTGCCCGGCGGCTGCGGGAGGAGCTGGAGAGGAAGGCTCGGGAATGCCGGAGGCTGGAAGGAGCTGCCGGCGGGATCCGGAGGCGGCTGCGGGAGCTGGCGCGGCTCCTGCTGGGCCGGGACGAGGGCGAGGATGAGGATGGGGATGAAGACAAGGACAAGGACAGCGCCTGCCTGGAGCTCCTGGCCCGGCACGTGGCCCTGCTGAGGAAGAGGACGGGGGATGAAGAGCGGGAAGCGGGACACGAGGCTCCGGCGCTGATCCCGTTCCTGGCCTGGCTGGGGGAGGAATGCGCCAAAATGCGGGAAGCGAAGGCCGGAGCCTTCTCCCGGAGCCGGGAGCTGCGTCGGGAAGCCGAGGATTCCCTCCGGGAATTCCCTCCCGCCTGGGAGCGGTTGCTGGAAGGGCTGGAGCGGGAGCTGGAGCTCCAGGACCGGAGCCACGCCAGGATGCTCCAGGGATCCCAAATCCTCCTGGAAAAGCTCCGCCGGGAGCCCTCGGTCGCGTGCCGGTGTGCGGGGAACGGATGGATCCAGGGGATGGAGCCGGGCGGGAAGAGCGGGGAGGAGACCCGGGGGGAGGGGGGGAGGATGGAGAAGGAGAGGATGGAGCTGGATCCAGGTGGGAAGAGCCGGGAGGAGACCCCGGGGGAGGGCAGGAGGATGGAGAAGGAGAGGATGGAGCTGGATCCAGGTGGGAAGAAGCTGGATCCAGGCGGGAAGAGCCGAGGGGAGACCCCAGGGGAGGGTGGGAGGATGGAGAAGGAGAGGATGGAGCTGGATCCAGGCGGGAAGAGCCGGGGGGAGACCCTGAGGGAGGGCGGGAGGACGGAGAAGGAGCTGCTGGAGCTGCGGGAGGGCAACGGGAAGCTCCTGGTGGAGCTGGCGCGGCTGAGCCGGGAGCGGGAGCGGCTGCGGGAGGAGCTGCGGGAGCTGCGGGATTCCGGGAAGCGGGACGGGGCGCGGGGGCTCCGGCGGGAGCTGGAGGCGCTGCGGGACGGGATCGGGGCGCGGGTGAAGGACTCGGGGGGCGACGGCGGGGCCGCGATCCTGCGGGATCTGCACCGGAGCCTGGACGCGCTGGTGCGATCCCAGCACGAGGCCCTGCAGCTCCTCACGGACATGGAGCGGGAGGAGACCCCCGCAGCCCCCCCGAGCCCCGGAGAGCCGGGAACGGCGCCGGAGCCGCCGGGATCGGAGCCGGAGCGGTGGCGGGAGGCGGCGGAGGCGGCCGGGAGGGAGCGGGAGCTGCGGGAGCTGCGGGAGCTGCGGGAGAGGGCGGAGGGGCTGGAGCGGAGCCGGGGAGAGCTGCGGGAACGGGCGGCGCGGCTGGAACGGGCCTGTCGGGATAAGGATGGGAAGGTGAGGGACGGGCTGGGAACGGGGACGGGCCCTTCCCGGCACCCAGCCCCTTCCCACCCACACCCTCTTCCCGTCGCGGTTCCCTTCCCGTTGCCGTTCCCTTCCCATCATCATCCTCTCCAACATCCAGTCTCGTATCCTCTTCCCACCGTCATCCCTGTCCCACCACTGTTCTCATCATCACCTGCACCCCATCCCCTTCCCATCGTGTCCCCATCCCATCCTATCCCATCCCTCACCCATCTACATTCCCATCCCATCCCATTCCCATCCCATTCCCATTCGCATCCCTATTCCATCTCCACTACACTCCATCCCTGTTCCATCTCCATTCCCGTCCCTATCCCCACCCCATACCAGTTCCATCCCATTCCCATTCGCATCCCTATTCCATCTCCATTCCCACCCCATCCCAGTCCCATCCCATCCTATCCCATCCCTATTCCATCTCTGTTCCCATTCCATCCCAGTCCCATCCCATCCCTATTCCATCTCCATTCCCACCCCATCCCAGTCCCATTCACATCCCTATTCCATCTCCATTCCCATCCCATCCCAGTCCCATCCCAGTCCCATCCCATTCCCATTCGCATCCCTCTTCCATCTCCATTCCCACCCCATTCCCATCCCATTCCCATTCCCACCCCATCCCATCTCCCGGCCCCATTTGGGGGGACCCAGGGGGGTGACAGGGACCAGGGGGTGCCTCGGGGGGTGCCAGGAGCCCCCAAACCCTCCCCCCAACCCCCAAATTTCCCCCCCAGCTGAAGCAGCTCCTGGTGGAGACGGAGAAACTCTCGGCCGAGGTGTTGGGGCTGCGGGGCCGGAGCGCCCGGCTCGAGCTGCAGCTGGAGGTGGGGACAGCCCCTGGTGCCACCCTGTGTCACCCAGTGTCACCCCATCACTTCCAGTGTCACCCCAGAATGCACCATGTCACCCCATGTCACCCAGTGTCTCCTCCTGTTGCATGCTGTCACCCCGTGTCACCCCGTGTCACCCCATGTCACCCAGTGTGACCTCCTGTTGCGCGGTGTCACCCTGTGTCACCCCATGTCACCCAGTGT